AACCTTCGTTGGGTCTATTATTTTAGTCCACTTAGCAAAATGCATAAAACTGCAGTCTGCAGACAGAAAAATACTCTTACATCCTAGAGACAAAGGGCCTTCAATAGAATGGCGGCATATTTTTAGTTATGACGTCATATTCAGAGACGTTTCCGCTAGCAGTTCAACAAGCTGATGAAAATAGACATGTTATCATGTAAAACTTGTTTTGTCTAAATGTTGAAAGAGTAGACGCAAAACATCTTACCGAGACTTAATTTCTCATCACAGTTGTCTAGCTAGACGTCAGGTACGTTCACCTAGACAGCTTTTATGAACGTTGCTCATGTAGTATAGAATTTCCCTTAAATTTAGCTCAGTCAGTATAGTGACTAGCTACGGGCTGGACGACCGGGGTTCGATCCCCGACGGGGGCTGAGGATTTTTCCTCTAGCCTCTGCGTCCAGACCGGCTCTGGGGCCCACCCAGCCTCCTCTACAATGGGTACCGGGGTCCTTTCCCGGGGGTAAAGCCGGCCGGGGCGTGATGCTGACCACTCACCCCCATCTAGTGCCGAGGTCAAGGAAGAGAGGAGCTATACCTCCACTCACCCCAAGCGCCTACATGGCGTGTAGTTGGACAAACTTTACTTTACTTAAATTTTGACAGTTTTTTAGTAAATAAAAATTAAGACGGAGAGCTGTTTGAATATAACTGTTGGCAGATAATTAAGGAAAAGGAGTCAGAATGCGTTTGTAGACATATGTAAAACATTTTACAATACGTGGCGTTGATGTGCGTCTGTGAGAGACGTCGGTGTAAGGTGCTTTAACCCAGTCTTGCTCATAACTTTTGCTGTGTTTGTATTGCCGAGATGTTCTCAGGTGTCAAGATCGGCGAAGGATACTCGGTAGTTGTTCTTCCTTACTCGACTTTGACGTCAGTATGTCTGTCGTACTTATTTTGATGCGCGTCGTGACGCCACTATCTTCCTCGTTCCATCGCATTGTTCACTCCCGCAGGGCGACATCCTCGTACTCTTCTTGTCCACTGACCTAGGTTTAGTCCGGGTCTGTACCCTTATTTATGGACTCTTGGTACATCTGGTTTGTACGAGTCTGTTTCGATATTCTAGGTGGATATTTGTTATGTATAGATCATACGCGGTGTACTCTGCTAGAAGTTTACCAACGTTTCAGAGGTCCTTGCTGCCTCCATCATCAGCGCCCTGCATTACGACCCAGAAGACATCCATCTTCATCGGGATTGGCTTATTATAGTACAAGATGTCCCAAAAATGTATATACGGTATAATACGGAATTTTAACTGTGATGTCGATCTCCGTGTGTTTGCGGAAGACGTGAACGGTGGTCATTTTAAACACATATACTACGTACATTCGTTAGTTTATTAAGTTCCTACGCTGACATGTAATGGTTTGTGTATTAAAATGTTCATTGAGTGCGTATGTAAATATTTTTGAGCCACTGTATATGTAATATTTTATCGGTGCTACGCTGTTCCGGTGGCGCTGTTGACGTCAAGTTAGAGCGAGGTGGGGTAGCCCCGTCGGTTATTTTAAGTTTCGTATGAATTGCCACAAATCTTGCAGTGGTCTAGGGAGTTAGCGTCTCTTCGCACGTGCCTCTTCAGATAATTGAACCCATAGAAAATATTTCTGAAATTATGTTTCTGTTATTTTTTTATGATTTTTGTTTGGTTTTGGCTTTGTAATCCAATTGGTATATGCTCGTTCCAGACTGATTTTAAATTGACATTTCCGAGTGAGGGAGTTCGTTCTTAGATACCATTTTACCTAATTAGGAATATTATGAAGTTGAATATAGAATGATTATCACTTTTCGTTTCGTCAGCCAGTCTGTCTGTCTAGAATTCTTGTGTGGCGGATTTTCAAATCATCGAATCGATGATTTATGCTCGAACAAGAAGTTACACAGAGCCCTGCTTGAAAGTTGTTTGTTTTAGTTTCCCCCCCCCCCCGGTATTTTTTCTTTGTTTAAAGATGCATCGCAGATTCAGGCACTCTTCGCATGTAAGTATGAAATATCGACAAATTTGCAGGAACGAGTATGTACATAAGCGAAAAGTTGGGGACCAGGCTACCGAAATGGAATTTTTAAGAAGTTCTCAGAGGCGCCGCTTGGGAAGGAATGTCGATATTAAGACAGAACGCGATGCATCATCTTTGCTGCTAGTGTGCAGTATGAAATAGAACGACAAAAGACAATGTCAGTGGAAAAGATTACTGTTCCGCTGCAGTACTATTGTCAGTAAAACAGTTAATTAGCATAAGTAGACTTTAAATTTTACAGAAGTGCTAAACGAGACAAAATGACATGGACATTGCCTGTAGATAAGTTAACGAAGACATTTACAGTTCATTATGAATAAGACATTTGCGTTAATGATTGCTAAAATGTCGAATTATCTTAGCACACGTGTGATTTCTTGTTGGTGGCTCTTAATTGAACAGAATCATAAAAGAGCTTCTGCAGATTGATTGCTTTATTTTACACGTATTCACCTGTTCCTTCCCTGTACAGATAATTTGAGATTGGGATGCCGTATTCGATGATTTAAAAGTTCTATGTCAGCGACAATAACAGTTTTTGGCGATTTGTAAGAAAAATAAATAAATACAGGCGTCTCAAAAAGTTGTATTCACACTATAATACTTTGGTGGCCGCTTGACAGTTGCTCACCGCTTTCAACTGTGCCACGAAGCTAACTGTGGCCATTTTGAGCAGCTCCATTAGATTAGCTAATTCACCGAGTGCCAGTTCTGACTTATGTAATGGTTTAGTTTCGTGATGTGTCTTAATGTAATTCGAATGTGTGTGTGTGTACATATTTTTGGGACGTTCTGTATGTCCCTGAAGAGAAGCTTACAGTGAGCATACGCTGTGTTTGGTGTGCAGCTTAAGGGTTTGGGAGTTCGTAATGAACGGCCGTAATTCGTGAGACTCTGGTCCATTGCCGTTTTAGTACGAAACTAAACCGAATTTAGACTTCATGGAAGATTATTGCCAGACCAGTACCTTTAAGGAATTATGTAAAAGGAAATTTTACTGTAAGGAAGAGAAGTTAGATCAGGTAACAGATGCACGCTAGTTAATTCACGAGTCGTTTAGTGTCAACTTCGATGTGCAGAAGAATAATTTTAGGTTTCATTTTTGTGGACCCCATTCCTCAACTTTAAAACACTGTTACGAATAGGAAGGCTTTCTGTTCTCGACGGGGGAGTCTCTACTGCCGTTCCAGCCAAACGTCAATAAACCTGTCGGAAGTAGGAAGCCCCGAACTTGGCAGTGTACGACCTTCTCCAGCAGCCCCTACGTGTTCTGGTGTCCAACCGGCGCCCTGCTCTTCCCATCCCGTCGCGTCGCGCCGCGCTGCCCCGCTTCTCCGAGCGTCTGGCGCTGTTGCCATATCTACAGGCGCCGACGTCGCCTACACATTAACTCTTACGTCTTCATGTAGTCTCGGAGAGTTTCCTTACTGAGCTGGGTTTTCGTGAAGATGGCGAGGAAGATTTAAATTTAGAATGAATTGACAGATGTGTGTTCGCAAATGTGTTGAGGATAGAACAGCCTCGACAGTTTGTGGGATATGTGGCCCGCGTGTTTATTTAAGTGTTCTGCCTTAAAATCGCGGTCGAGTGGCCCCTCGCCCCCATACTTCATACTTGGGATGTCCCGTATTCTGGTTTATTCCCGGTGATCTACCCTCTTGGAAGATGCTTGCTTGGTTTTCATGTTGTGGGTCGCATTATAATTAAAAATGTATATTCTGTAAGAATGAAATTGTGACAGGTCACAGTGAAATGTTAACAATAAAGTCAGATACATTAACAATTTAAGAAACAGCTCGAGATGACGGAAGAGGACTCTACAAGATATTTCTACTTTTATCTTACTAGAACTCTGTTGTATGAATTACTATGAAATAGGCATATTTAGAAACGCGTAGGTTTCAGAAGAAAGACGTTTTCGTAGGAAGAAATAGCAAACAGCCTAATTCATATTAGGAGGGCGTTTCATTATTAACCATCTATACCAAAATAAAGCCACGGTGGTCTAGCGGTTAGAACGCTGGCCTTGTAATCCTGGGGTCTCGGGTTCAATTCCCGACGGTGCCCGAATTTATAACTTGTGTTGGGCAAGGCCGTGGTCTAGGCAACACGGAGTTTTCCTCCGGGGGCTTCCCCGGTTTCTCCGTGGCATCCCAACAATTACTCCATTCACACACAGAAGAAGGCAATGGCAAACCACTTCTGGATCATCTGCCAAGAACGTATATGAACAGGTCCCAGTCCGAGAAAAGGATGGAAGGATCCTGTTCATATGGACCTGTCGTCAGACAGAACGCTAAATAAATAAAATAAAATACCAAAATAAAATATTATGAAGAGTGACGTAAGAAATTAATATCAATATATTTCCACTGATGACTAAAGGTATCCTTTGATATTCATTAAAGCCAAACTTTTTCATAATTACCAAATATGATTAAATTCTTCCAGTCCTTGATGAGGTATTTTGCTGCAACTTAAAATTCTGTTTAATTTGAAGGATGGTGCCTTTGCAGAGATTAACCTAGCTGTAGGGTAAGGCCTGTTATTTGTGCGCCTATATTGAAATACACTGAATGTGCGTATGCCAGTGGGCTATTGCTGGATGTACGTAGGCGTGTTGGATTTGAATGTATCGGGTTTTTTTTTAATTAAACCCGGAAGTGTTAGTCCAGTCGTAACAGTTAAATCGCACTGCGCACTGAATAACACCAGTTGATTTAAATATATTTTCATATTCAAATAGCTTCTGTGAACAAAAACAAACTGTTTAATGAAAGAGTAATTTACTCGTACAATTAATAGATTGTTTAAATTGGAATAAGGTGGTGAAATACGCTTTGAGAAAGATATAAAATATAATTGAGTTGTGCAAGTGTAAGCTACTTGGAATTGTCATTAGTGAAAATTTTGTTATTTTTTTCACAGAACGAACATCACCCAGTTGCCATCACCAGAAGGTATCGTGGTACCCGTTGAGAACAGCGACTGAAGTCGTGAACTGTGGTAAGTAGAACATTTAGGTTGTGTATCATAGTTTCTCTTTCCCCTTAGATCCTTACAGTATATTAGTTAAATAAAAAAAGTGTTACTTTGACTGACCACATGATCTGTGTGCAAGAAACTGTTTTTTCTTCTCAAGTTACTAGGAAATGTAGGCTGTCATCGCCTTTAAGTAACGGGGAAGAAGGAGTCTCTACTAAGCGAAGCCAGTATTATTTTCAATAACAATAGCTTTGTTGTTTACCTGACGATGGATACAGCCAAGGCTACCGAAACATTGTAGGCACAGTCCCTACCCGACACTGAGACTGTTCAAGGAAAATCTTTACAGATCTACGATTAACATAAATTGAATGTGCTTGCATTTTGAATTACTCACGTCTGCATGTAGGTCCGTCGGTAAGAACGGGGACCTGGAATGTAGTTAAGGGCGGGAGGTTGATATGTATGAAAGGACTTAAGTGACGAAGCTCGGCGTGGACCTTTTAACATTCGGTCCCAGTGACCCTGCCCTCGGCAGGAGGACGAGATGTAAGTGGTGGTATTGTAACGACGCTTTACCTGCTGATGCTGATGTTCACGATGTTTTTATCTGTGTAGAGAAGCTCTCTGCTGCTGGGCGGATCTGGGATCGATTTTATTTATAGAGAAACGGACAGTTTTTCGAGGCAGTGAACCGCCTCGTCTTTTGGCGCTGGCGTAGTTATGTATCGTCGTCACAGCACAGTGGAAACGGTGTTTTATGGTCATGGTAGTTTATGTGTTTACAATTCCTGGAGATGTTTCGTTGCTAAGAAACCGACCATGCGATGTGATTGATTTGGGCGCATTCAAGATTCGTGTAGAGCGATGGTTGAGAGGATTTGCACCAAAGTGTATCATCCTGCGCACAAGTGCAGATAGCTGGATGGTGTTTATTTATTTTTACATAGGTCACGAAGTTAAAATAGTTAAAATCTACATGTTTTATTTGAAATATTTTTCGATGTGGTAATTAACTTGACGAAATTCATAAAAAAGTTTCGATTTTAACGAAATATCCGTGGTGCTCTTAACTTTGTGACAGTACATTTTTATCTGCAGTAAATAAACACCAGGTTCAATAATGTTTGCAGAATAGCAAAGAACCCATTCTTAAACCAATGTAGATCCCATCGGAGTACACATTTGTGAGTTACATAAATACTTTACGCCCCGTTTTATTGGTTTTTTAAGTCAGTTGAAACATTATGGCACTGATAAACCTTTCACTCAATTTTCGTGTTCCTGTCGGACGTACACACTATAAAGATGGAAACAATAAAAGAGCCATTCATTATAGGCAGTTGAAGTTTTGTTTGGTGATAAAGACTTTCTTAGAATTGTAAAATTACATCATGACTTCGAACTGTTGCTTTGTTAGCAGTCTTATTCGCGTTAATGAGGCTATGTAAACATTTTGCTTGAATAATTTTGTATGTTGGTTTGTTGCGTTTTGGTGAATATAAAATTCTGGCACTGGGTCCTGCTTGATCGTTTCCTTTACAGAATTTCCTGTCTCGTTTGTCTTAAAATAAACTTACTCGTAGCATTTATTTCAGGGGGGGATAAATTATGGACAAATTGAAACAATTTGCAAATAAAAAAATGACCACTCCAACTGCAAGAGCTTATAGCAGATCTTTATGTTCGTGTATGCAGTTGGATCACATGTGTTCATTTTAAGACGCTTATTAGACTTCGTTATGAGTGAGGAGTGTTTGCCAAATCGGACTTTCCACCAAGAAATGCATCAGCTGTTAGCAAAACAAATTTGGTTCTGCGGATT